TTTCATGTTGTCTCTAATATACATCTAATTACTTATTTTTATTACTAATATTGGGCCCTGACTACAAGTTTGGGGAAACTGACACAAAATGTTTCATCTCCTATACATTGATCATGCATTCAACCAATTTTTCACAATCACTCTCATGCAGACATCCAGTAAAGCACTCACAGGGAAACATCTGACTGAGTCATTATTCCCTTACTCATACCTCATGTAATCTAGCACATACATCTGGTATCAGAGATCATTAAGATTATCAGGTAAAACTTACTTTGATAAGGTATCCGCTGACAAATCAGAGTCATCTTCTGTGGATGTGTCACCTTTAAAAGAAGCAATTTTCATATATTTCAAAATTACAGCACAAACATTGTCACTCAACACACGTCCAGTAGTGCTAAGTACACAAGTATAGACACTATATGACTAAACACTTATGAAACGGGTGTCTAAATTTATAGGTTATTTAGGTGGTAGGCAGTAAGGGTATTTGTATGGAATTTCTTTCCACCAGGATATGATCATTCAATAGAACTGTCAACTCTGTTTTTCCTGTGATATCTGCATGCAAATCTTGTGCATTTGGCCCTTTTCACCCAAACATCACTATGCATATTCTCCACACTATATACTTTACATTTCCCAATATGCTGACAAGGAGAATTAGTTTAAAAATCGGAAGCTTCATTAAATGGTGATCATTTCCTGTGTTCTCTTAACCTTAATGTGAGATTCAGGGGTGATATTGTAAGAAGAAATTAGATGTTAGTCATTTTAAGGGATCAAACAATTATAGGTTTGTTAAGAATAATACACTTACCATGTCCTCTGAGATCTAATGCTAAAACTTGACAGTGACATATTCTTATGATTGATTTCTAAAAAAGATGAAAACACTCTTAGTATTATCACTTGATAGCTCTTTTCGTTTTTTAAAGACTTAAAAGACCATCACTATTCAAATCCAGCATCCTTCTCTAGATTAACTTTTCATAAAGAGCTCCCAAAAGTCTATCTCAGTTGGCATGGACTGGAGAAAACATCTTCAAAATCTCAAAACAAAACAGCCAGACTGGTCAGGAAGTTTGCAGTCAATCACAGAGGACAATTTTCAATACTGAGGCACTGGTTTGCTTAAATCATTAGAGTGCACAATAGAATTATAAAACACGCTCATGCTATTGGATTTGGGTACCTGAATTTACTAGCTATGTTATAAAGTGTTATGACAAATACTTACAGTGAAGACAGCCCATGACAAAGCAGAATGCCCTCCACCATGAAGTAACAATAGAACTGGACCAGAATTACCAGCCTGGTAAACTCGAAATCTCTATTGCACAAGTTGCCAGGCAATAAGTCAAGGAAATTCTCCTATTCTTTCCATTCCTCATCATGGCCACTTTAACTTAACCCTTTAACCCTTTAACTCCCAGTAGTCAGTGATTAACATGAAACTTCTCCCAATAATATCCATACATTATTCAGCAAACAGGTAATGAGAATATTCAAACTTATCAGGTAGTAGCTGTTATCTTGATCTAGCACCAAGTTCTTATAACTAATTTAGGAAATGTGTCACAGCTAGAGGGGAGAATTAACAATCAGATCTTGGGAGTTAAAGGGTAATAACCCCTAAGAGTGACTAACATCCAATTTCTCCTTAAAGTATCTCCATAGAATCAAATATTAAGGTCATATGAATCCATGAAATTATCTAACTAAGTAAAGAAGTTCTTCTCCTTGTCAGTAACTTAGGAAATGTATGAAGAACAGTATGGACAATATACATACTAATGATTAAGGGAGTAAAAAGATAAAAGAGACATGTACATATCCTATTGCCAAGGCACTGGCATTGAGCTTCAAAAGTCAAGCCAGACAGGGCATTGTAACTGTAAGGAGAATGTTCCTGTCTATTTTTTTAGTTTTTTTTTTTTTAGTTTTTTTTAGTTGGTTTTTTTTCATGGTTAAGCATGCTATTTTGGTGGTCTTAGTCAAACTTTATCTGAAATATAAATACCTATCTGAAATAAATCAATTAAATAATTTCTTTGTCACATGAAGATAGCAAAAGTTTTTCACCCTCTATAATTGTACCAAGAATAACAAGCTTACTTCGCTCAAACATAACCCTTCACACCCTAACTATGAGCGGTTGTCACTGCCAAAAATACAGGCAAAATTAATGGTTTGTAATAAACAGAAATGTTCTAATTGTATTAACCATTTTTTCCTTGAATATTTCATTTCACCATAGGTGACTTGTCCATTTTAAATAAATCTCTTGAGATAAGATAAACTGTTCTCCAAAAGACAAGTAGACCATTTCTATTTATTACAAATGGTTTATTATGCCTATATTGTTGGCGGTGACAGCCGCTCATACCTAACATTAATATCTGTATTCTTTGCACTTTCCTCTTAACATTTCCTAAGGACGACAAGGAGACTTTTAAATTAGGGGCTTCTTGAATTGGTTATCATTTCTATTATTCTCGTGACCTTTTTACATTTGATTCAAGGGCACTGAAAAGGAAAAGAGAAATTATACAAATGTTGAAGTCATTCACTGGTAGGGGTTAAAGAGTTAATCAACAAAAGGGAATGCATTTTCCAGTAGTAACGACCACAGCTTATGACATTCAACGTCAACATGCTGGCCGTTGCATGAAGTAATCACAATTGCATAAAATGTTTCGAAAAATACAACTGTAGTATGCACAAGAAGTAAGGTCAAATGAATTAACATGACTTTTGTACTAAAACAACTTTTAAACAATCACAGCACTCGTAATTAACGTGGGTATGGAATTTAGAGGGATCTCCCCTTCTCTCATTACAGAAGCACTCAGTGAAACAAAAGATACGTTTTTATCGTTGACACAAACATCTCTCGAACTATCGAAGTAATCTTCCCAAGACAACGGTGTGTAATCACGCTTTCGTCGCAGTCCTCCCGCGGTTCTGTTTGTGCGATCAAAAGATCTCAGTCCATAACAACAGCTACATAAAGTTTTTTACAAACCACCTACATAAAGTTCTTTACAAACCACCTACATAAAGTTTTTTACAAACCTAAGATTAAAATCAATTCAGTGTCTTAATTCTTACCCGTAAGATTTCCCAGGTCGTTTCGGGGCAGGAGGTAAACCACCGTATTTGCTCTTTAAAGCCTCTTTCCTCAGTTCCGACATTTTGGATTTTTTTTTCCCGATATTTTTATCGCAGGCTCATATTTTGCTCGCGTGGGGTTTGCCTCCACACATTTGTCATACAGTCACGGTCACGCAGAGTCAGGTAGTCAGTCACACAATCGCTAAACCCTGAGATATGTACATCTTCTTCTTCTGTTTTTTGTTTTTTTTTTTTTTAATCCTAACTTCTATTTATCGTATGATTTTAACTGTAATTAATATTTTGTAATAATATTAGGCATGCTTCAATCAAACTCAAGTTGTAAAATTTTTGCCCCCTTGTCACATCACCAGCCTCCAGGAAAATGAGCCCGCGCTCCTCTCTCAAGAGGATCGAAGAAGGCGTTAGACTACGGTGATGTTTTTGTTCAATAACGTTACATTTACTACGACCGTCGTCTCCATCATCCCTTGTATTTTCTGGACAAAATCTCTAGCTTCACAGCCTCACATATTGCTACTATTGGTCGATGATTTGGGATGGAGCGATGTTGGATATCACGGTTCGCAAATAAAGACTCCTAATGTAGACAGACTTGCTCGTGAAGGAGTTATCCTTGAGAATTACTATGTCCAACAATACTGTACACCAACTAGAGGATCTCTCATGACAGGCCGGTATCCAATACACACCGGTGCGCATGTTTTACTAGTTTTCTTCCTCAAGACTCACGAAAAACATGTTTTGACCGGCCTTTAGGGGGTAACTTTTCAGTATCTCAACAGCTGATATCGTGCTAAGGTTAATTTTGGGTTAGGGGAGGGGTAGATGCGTAGTTGCTGAGAAACTTTCATTGATCCAACTATTGTGACCTTAGAGAAACTTCTGTACCAAGTTATCCCACAGCCACTGCTAGGAAACCGAGATGCTATGTTCATTCAATTTCTAGTGGGGAGGGCAAGGGTAACTTTAAAGTGGGGACAAGTAAATTAAACTTT